AAAATTATACTCCTCAGAGGGACCAGCAGGCAATGCGGAGATCCTACATTACATTCCACAATCAATCACTGACCAACAAAATCAAGAGCTGATAGCAGAGGTAGATGATAAGGAGATTACTGAAGCCTTATTCAGCTTGCACCCCGAAAAAGCACCCGGTGAGGATGGCATGACAGGTATCTTTTTTCAACATTTTTTGCCTATTCTCAAAGAGGATATTTGTGAAGCAATAAAAAGCTATTTTAAATCAGGAAGAATGCTCAAATACTGGAATCATACTATTATTTCTCTAATACCTAAATGTCTATATCCTGATTCATTCAGTAAATTCAGGCCAATAAGCCTTTGTGGGGGTGCTTTATAAAACAATCTCTAAAATACTCACAAATAGGCTTAAGCCATGCTTGTCTTCTTGTATTAGTGAGTACCAAGCAGCATTTATACCTGACAGAGCTTTGTTGGACAATGTGGTGATAGCACAAGAAGTCTTCCACTTCCTAAACAGACACAGGTCAGGTAACAATTTTTTTATGGCTATTAAATTGGATTTGCTCAAAGCTTTTGACATACTTGAATAGGAATGTGTAGAGAAAATAATGATCAGGATGGGCTTTCATGCAAAATTTGTTAAATGGGTTATTGGTTGTATTACCTCTCCCACTTACCCTTTCAAGATAAATGGAACCGTTGGTGGATTTATTCAGCCTTCTCGTGGTATTAGACAGGGGGATCCAATTTCCCCCTATCTATTCATCATGGTGGCAGAAATTTTTTCAGCACTTATACTCAAAGAAAATGGTTTGGGAGGAATCAAAGGATTAAAAATCTCTAAAAGTGGCCCAACATTATCCCATCTATTATTCGCAGATGACACTCTTGCTTTTTGTAAAGCAGACACAAATCAAGCGTTGCAACTGATGGACATATTGGCAAAGTATCAATCAATCTCAGGGCAGAAGGTAAATTGGGCAAAGTCTACTATTTTTTTTTCAGCAAAAATTCACCTCAGCGGTTGAGAAGCAGAATTTGCAGCATTCTCAATAATATAACAGAGCACAGTTCTACCAAGTACCTGGGGTTGCCTCTGGGAATTGGTAAATAAGAAAGTCAAGCTTTTTCTTTTGTAATTGAGGCAGTCATAGGAAGAAAAAATAGTTGGAAAAATAAGCTTCTCTCCACAGCAGGTAAGGAAATCTTGATAAAAGCTGTTCTTAATGCTCTTCCTATTTTTGTTATGGGCTGCTTTAAACTAACTGCTTCTGTTTGTAAGGAAATTGCTGCTTTATATGCTCAATTTTGGTGGAGCAGGGGTGGTGATCAAACGAAAGGAATACATTGGATGAGCTAGAATAAAATTGCTCTACCAAAAAAATTGGGAGGCTTAGGGTTCCAGGATATCAAGCTCTTCAATGAGGCAATGATTATGAAACAATTATGGAAGCTAATAACTAAGCCTGATCTTTTAATGTGCAAGGTGCTTAAAGAAAAATATTTTCCTAATGTTGATTTTTGTGATGCAAAAAATAAGAATGGAGGATCCTGGTTATGGAATTCATGGATGGAGGTAAAACCTAAATTTGATCAATTAATTATGGTTGATTTGCACAGTGGCTCTAATACCAGAATACTAGGTTACCCCTGGATTACATCCCTGGGCTCTCAAAGAATTAATTTCAAAGATGGAGCTCAAACCAATTGTATCATGGTAAAGGACCTGCTCATGGAGGATGGGAAAACATGGAATGCTGACCTTATTAATCATCTCTTTGATCAACACACAGTAGCAGCAATCCTGGATATCCACAATCTTGATCCACATATGGACGACAGTTGGAAATGGCTTGGAAACAAAAAAGTTCTTCCAGCTTTAAGGATTTGAAGGTGAGAAATAGAACATGGAAGCTAAAGGTCAAGGGTAAAATAAAACACTTTATATGGAAAAGCTTCACAGGAACTCTACCAGTTAACACTAAACTCATCAAAAAGGGTGTTCCTGTTGATCCAATTTGCCCCACTTGTGGAGAAGCAGAAGAAACGATAGAGCATACCTTGTGGCAATGTAGCAAGGCACAAAGAGTTTGGAAATTAGCACCTGTATCCTGGGATTGTTTTTCACATCCAAATACTTCTTTTTCAGATGTATGGTGGACAATATGATCAACAAATACTAAAGAGATTGATGAAAGCCGTATCCAACTATCGACGTACATATTGTGGTGGTTTTTGAAATCACGAAACTTATGGGTTTGCCAAGGACTTCACCTCCCGGAGCACACTCTGATTCAACTAGCTACCCGTGAATGGCAGGAATATTGTTCAGTTTCTTAGACAGTACATTATTTCTGATGAAGGATTAAACTAGGGCCATGGATAGTTTTTTAATCTCTTCATTAGTTGATTTTCTTTCCTAGCTAAGGATCACAACCCAGAGCTGCCTTAGTTAGATTTTATGCTCTTTAGACCTTACTTGTTGGGTCTCCCATCAGACGCGGTTATTATTGTAGTTGTAGTTTGGAATTGTACCATTAACTCTTGTATTGGATGTATATTTGAACATTGTATCTTTATTGTGTAATGAGAATCCTATCGTTTTGAAAAAAAAAAATAGTCTGTCAGATATGAAAATTTAAAGGATCATCATATGCATTCAACTATTGAGGTAACAACATATTCTTGCAACTAATTAGTGCCAATTCC